GATTATGTGACCAATACATCTGTTCTAGAACAAGCAGCAGTCACAAGTATTGAGGCCATGTTGCTGAGAACACAGCTGTGCTGGGCAGGGCACGTCTCCAGGATGAAGGACCAACCACCACCTCCCGAAGGTCCTGCTTTATGGTGAACTTGCCACCAGCTGCCGCAAGAGAGGAGCCCTGAAGAGGAGATACAAGGACTCCCTGAAACAACATCTCAGCCTTAGCCATATTGATCAAAATAACTGGTCTACTCTGGCCTCCAATCAGGAGGTCTGGAGACACATCATCTATAACACTGCTGAGGCTTTTGAGAGAGCACACAGGATCACCTTTGAGGAGAAAAGACAACACAGAAAGAATCGTGCCTTGCAGAATATACCACCTAAGGAGCTTTTCTGCTGTGCCTTTTGCAACAGAACATGTCTATCTCATATTGACCTTTTTAGCCACCAGTGTGCTTGCAACAAACGTGGGTAGAGTGAAACAGGAGGCCAGGCCCAAAAGAGTTAACTAAGAAATTTGGGCCTGCTAACAAGCTACCAACATCCAAAATGATCTGTGCTTGTTCTGTTCTACTTACTGGACCAAAGCTTAAGAGAATAGTACAGGAACATGTAATAGGCCTAGAAGCAATAAATTAGAAATACAACAGGATCAGGTAGACATTTGAATAGGAGAAATAGGCCTGGAGCCAGGGCTTTTTCCAAGCTTCAGTGAGCGGGTCAAGAACAATGGAAAAGAAGAAGGGTCAAGCTGAGGAAGATGAGTTGAAGCCCCCAGACCCATGGAGGAAGATGGGAACTACCCTCCGAAATGGGGAGCCAAGAGAAGCACCGCCCCAAGCCCCGCCTGAGCTCCGCCTATACTCCGCCTAATATTAATATGCATAGTAGATGTTGTAATCACTTGAATATGCATTTAATCACAGCTGAAGATTGTATAAAAATGCTGATTTTGTGTGAAGCCTTTGAGCAAGTTTGTCCAGCACGAGCTGGCTTGCTCCCAACGTTGAATAAACAAGTACCTTGCTGCTTAAAGATAAAAAATCTCTGAGCAGTTTCTTGGACCGATTTTTCGGATTCAAGAGCCCTTCCCAAATCTTCGTTTGCGAAACCTGGCCATGATGAGTATTCTTCCTGGATATAACTGTGATATATGTACATATATATCTTTGCTCTAGCTCTGCTATTTCGGTTTTTTTTTCTCTCTGGGAAGTAAGCTTTTTTCGCTGGGTCTCAGGGACTTGGCAGGAAGACAGGTCCAAAGCAACACAGGGCTGCAGCACAGGGCTTGCTGCCGTGCCACCTCCTGGGGTGCTGGGCGTGGGAGGACACAGGGGTCCCAGAGTGGGGCACCGTGTGGGGACACAGGGATAACTGTGGCTGCCCAGGCTGGAGAAGAGAAGGTTTTGGGGTGACCTTCCAGCCCCTTCCAGTGCCTAAAAGAGGCTCCAAGGGAGCTGGAGAGGGATTCTGGACGAGGGCCTGGAGTGACAGGACAAGAGGGAATAGCTTCACACTGGCAGAGGGCAGGGTGACATTGGCAGTGGCCCTGAAATGGGGCGAGAAGGCTCAGGCAGCAGCTTGTCCTTTAGCCAAGGCGGCTTCTCCCAGGGAAAGCCCCATCCAGGGCTCAGCTTGTCCCACAAGCCTGGGGCCAGGGGTGCTGAGGGGGGAGCGTCCCGCTGCCTGCGGGACAGCCCAGGAAGGACACGGTCAGCTCGGCACACTCAGCACCGTGCAGCTGAAGGACACCAGGGCTTTGGGCACGTTGTTGCAACTTTATTCAGCCCCAGTCCTTTAGCCAAGGCAAGCTACACCTCTGCCGGGCTCACGGCCAGCAGCAGCGCAGTGCTCGCAGGAGGCCTCTTGGTCTTTGCTGCACGAAAGGACTCCTCAGAATGGAGGCTGTCCGAGCTGCCAGGGAGCTGACAGAGATGTCCCAGTCTCTCTCCAAGGGCTGAAGCGCTGTGAGGGAAAGAAACAGAACCCAGATAAAACCCCCCATCTGCAGAGAACCTCTGGATTCCCAACAGACCGCGCTCCCCACTCACCGCTCAGGATGTCAGCCTGACTCTCCGTGGTCTGCTCCCTCAGGCGCCGTGTGATGAGTCCTGGGCACAGAGCTCCATTAGCCCCTGCTCCCCAGCCTGCTCCCAGCAGCAGGGCCCCCAGTCCTACCCTCCTCCCCCTCAGTAGGGCTGAGCCCAGGAGCCCCCAGAAGCTCAGGGCAGTGGGACTGAGCAAGGCGGCCACCAAGCCCCGCTGCGTGGGCAGGGCTGGCAGAGGGAGGTAAGGCCCTGCCCAGGGTGGCCGGGGCTGGGGTAGCCCCAGGACTGCCCCTCGTTGCTGGGGCAGCAGTGGCACAGGGGCCAGGCTGCCCCAGAGGCACCGCAGGGGCTGGCACTCACCAATGAACCTGACGGCCGCCAGGCGCACGTTGGCCTGAGGGTCCTGCAGGTAGGGCAGGCTCTGGTGGATGAAGTCTTCAGCCCTGCTCCTGCTGTTCTGAAGCTGCAGAGAGAACAAGGCATGTCTCTCCAGGGCTGTCACTGGGGCAGTTGGCTGGAGCAGTGCCTCCCGCCAGCACCTCCTGGGACGGAGAGGCCTCCCCTCCTGCTGGCTACAGGGAGGGGACAGGGGCCAGCAGAAGAGCCCCTGGGGCTCTGTTCTTGAGGGCAGCAACAGGGATGCAGCTCCAGGCTCTGCCCAGCTGCAGAGCCCCCAGCCCAGACATGGGATGGGGGCAGCCCTCCCCCAGCCCGGGCCCCTCAGCTTGTCCTTACCAAGCACGCTCCAAGCTCCCACAGCCGCTCTCTCTGCAGCAGGTGCTTGAGCGTCTTCCACTTCAGCAGCTCGGCGGCAGCAAGAAGGGCTTCCCTGGAGGCCTGCAGGACAGCATGAGCTCAGGGATAGCACGGGGGCCTGGGCAAGGAGACATCTTGGCTTTGTTCCTGGGGGGATCCCACCTTTAGGAAGCTGGGACATGCCCTAGCCCAAATGTCTGGGAACCTTTTAGGGACAACCCTGGGGGACAGGCGTGGAAGCTCAAAGGCCTGGCCTCTGACACAGCCTGTGGGGATGCCCCTGCTCAGGCCATGGTGGTCACGGGCTGCTGCTGAGCCCTGCAGGAGCAGGCAGGGCAGGTGTTGCACAGGGCCGTGCCAGCTTCTCCGGCCCTGCTGGCGCTGGCTCCGCACGGACCTTCCCACGGGCTGTGCTGGGGGAGCGCTGCCCACTGCCAGCAGCCCTTGCCCCGATGCCCAGGAGCCCTGGGGGTGTCAGCTCAGCCCTCTGTGTGTCAGGGCTCAGCCTTCAAACCTGTACCTTGGCCACGCTGGGGACCTGGTCGCTCATGCGGAAGAGGAGAGGCACCAGTGCTCGCCACACCTCCTTCCTCATCCTCTTCTCATCCCTGCGGACCACCAACTGCAGCAGCTCTGTGAGCATGCGGATGGAGAGCTCTCGCAGCTCGCTGCACTCCTGGCAGGAAGCAGGAAAAGGGAGCTTTGCAAACAGCAGCTCCCTGCCCACAGTGCAGAGGGCCGTGATCATGGCTGCAGGGAGGGCAGCAGCTCCGGCCTCACATCCCAGAAGAAGCAGCACTGGGCTGCACGGCCCAGAAGCCATCCCAGGAGAGCCCAGGGGAGTGGAGCTGGCTCCAAGTGCTGCTCGCAGGGCTGGGCTGCAGGGTAGCTGTCATTGCCCAGCACCTAGTGCCCGCAGCAAAGCTGGCAGCAGTGCCTGCAGTCCCTGCATGGCAGAAGATGAGCAGAGAGGGCCCTCCTGCTGGGGGAGGAGGGCTCATGGGCACAGGCTGCTGGCCCCACCGAGAACCAGGGACTTGCTGGTGGCCAGGAGCACTGGAGCTCCTGCTGGGGCTGAAGCTGCTGCTGGGCCACTGGAGTGCAGCCCTCGTGCTGTCCCTGCTCAAGGATGGCAGGAACCCTCTCCCCAGGGAGCTGAGTGCACGCCAGCCCCACTGCTGTGGGGTCCTTTGGCTCACACCAGTGCCCTGCTGGTGCCACGGACAGGAGTCCCAGCAAGGGCACAGCTCCTTACCTTGGCACAGTCCCTGGGGCTCAGAGAACACAGCGCGGAGGTGGTCACGGCTTCCCGGTGGACTTGGTCTGCTCTGTCCTTTAGCCTGGATTCAACTAAACACCAGGGCAAACACACAAGAGTCAGGAAGGCAGAGCAGCTTTGCCAGCAAGCTCACCAAACTGCCCTGGCATCTGCTGGCAAGGGGGCAGGACAGGAGCAGTCCAGGATTTTGGGAGGGCATCAGGAACAACTTCTTGCTACAGGCACTGGAGGGACCAGCCAGGGTGGGGGATCTGCTCTTCCCCACCAGGGAAGACATGGCTTTGGGACAGGGAAGTCAAGAGGGGCTTTGGCTGTGGGACCCACAAACCAGTGGGCTGCAAGCTCCTGAAAGGAAGGGGAGGAAGGAGAGCAGCAGCAAACAGATCCTGGCCTTGAGCAGAGCACTCAGCTTCTGCAGCAAAGTGGCAGCTGGGAAGCTCTGGAAAGCAGCTGGAAGGGGCAAAGGGGGTCAGGAAGCAGATCTCTCAGGAGATGTCTGTGTGCAGAGCAATGAAGCCCAGCACTGCTCTGCCTTTTTTTACTCAGCCAGGGCAAAAAGAGCACGGAAAGCTGCACAGCTTGTCTGCTCCTCAGAGAACAGGAAAAGGATGAGATGCCCCAGCAGCTTTCCTAGGACTGGGAGCTGGATCTCCCCAGAGTAGACAAGTCCAGAAATGCCTCTTGTGACGTTGGCATGGGCCTGGATGAGGGAGGCATGAGCAGAAGGGCTGAGGGCACAAAGGTGGTGCCAAAGCCCCCCTCCCAAGAGTCTGCCCAGGGCTGGATTGCTGGAGAGTCCAGGCTTTGCAAAGCCCTGCGTCCCCATCTCTCAGAGCAGCCATGTGGGCAGCAGCCCTGGCATGGAGAGCAGCAGGGATGGGGGTATGGCCTGGCTGGAGGGGGCCTGGTCCTTACCTGCAGAGTGGAATAGTCGGACAGCACACAGGTCAGCACATCAATCCTTGCCATGGCCCTCTCCCTCACAGCCTCTCCCTTGCATCTGGTGAAGTCCAGCAGCAGCTGGGACAAGAGAAGCTGCTGGTGAGCCCTGGGAGCAGACTCCAACACCAGCAGCACAGCTCCGCTGCTGGACCCCGCTCGCCCCATCCCTCAAGGTTTCCTCTCCCCTCCAGCAAAGCCTGCAGTGGGGTGTCTGCCCCTGGATTCCTGCCCAGGTCGGGCACAAAGGCCTCAGAGCCAACCTCATGGCCAAGGAGGAGGGCAGGTGCCACCCTCTGCAGCCCCTGTGCTCCACGAGAGCCTGGGGCCAGCCCCTGCTTCCCCACAGGAGGTGGGCACCCTCCCTGCAGGGCACTCTGCCTGTTCAGCACTGCTCTGGGCACCACTCAGTCAGGAGTGGGCAAACTCTCCCCTCCAGGCTGAGGAACAGCCCTGGGACTCCCCCCTTTTTGCTTGTGCCAGACCTCCAAGATGCCCTGCAGCTCGTCACTGACTTCAGAGGCAGGAAAGCTGAGCACCATTGTCCTCAGCATGCTGTCCATGGAGTTCAGGGTCTGCAAGGAACACAGAGAGCAGTGGCAGTCATTCTGCTGTTCCTCCCAGCCCCAGGAGAGCCATCTGAATCCCCTGTGCCACAGGAGGAGGAGGAGGATGCCCACACTTCCCGGGAGAGACATGGGCATAGACAATCTGCGAGGGCAGAGCAGCCTGTGGCACGGGATGCAGCCAGGCCCACGGGAAGGGGACAGAGGCACGAGGGTGGGAAAGACCCTGCCCTGCCTGGGATCCCTGCTCCTGTGGCACGATGGGGTAGCCAGGGAGCAGGCCAGAGGGGCTGGAGGCCCCTGGAGCTCACCCAGCACTTACCTTGATGTAGAGGGCAAGGTCCCCTTTTGGCATTTCCTTCTCTGCAGGCAACCAGAAGACACTTGAGAAACACGTGCAGAGGAGGTTTTTGGCTTTGCCCTCCAGCGCTGTGTCCACCAAGCTGCAGGGAGAGGGCAGGACACTGGTTGCCCACGGGTGCTGGGAGCAGCCCCTCGACGACTCGTGCAGGTGGCATCGGACCTTTGGGCCGGGGGGGCCGTGACAGATGGGCAGGTGTTGGACAAGGGAAGAGAGGGACCCTCAATATGAGAATCAGCAAGCTTCGTTTATTGATCATTGCTAACAGCTTAATATATGCTTTATAATTAGCTCATACATATTGCAAAGGTTAAGCTCATTATTGGTTCTGCTTAAATGTTGATCTCACCTCTTACTCTCTTCCTTTGTTGACACAGGTGGCACTCAGTTGCTTTTTGTTTTGCTAATCACAATGTCCTGTTTACCAGCCAGCTAACAGGGTACAAGGGCACTGTAACCTCACTATCTAAGATGTTCCCACGGCCTAGGCAAGCCGTGTTCTATAGCCAATTCCCTACAAATACCCCTGTTTTTTTATTCTGGGCTAATAATGTTTTCTCTGTTATAGCACTTACACATTTAACAATACAAGAAAAAGCAATATGAACTATTACTAAAATTACAACAATTGTCAACAACCATCATAGGCTTTTCTTTAACAAAACTTAAAACTTATTCAGACATAGAACCAAAAATAGATTGAAGCTACAAGTCTATAGGACTAGTTGTTACTGTTACTTTCTTTGTGTGTTCTACTGTTTCACTCAGGCTCTACAGTTCTTTTGTGTACAGGCTAGGCAGTTTGTGCCAGCTGGGCAAGTCGTGGTTTTGATAAACACTTAATCTAGATTGAAATAATCTCAACATAAAACAGGTTTGAGTCCCATTACCACTTGTGTTATGTACAGACAGTGATCTCATTAAACCTAATTCTTGGGGATCTTTTGCCAGAGTAAGACCTCGAGGGTTAGTACTAAAATAGACAGTACAAGCACGACGACAATCCGGACAAGAGACAACAACTGAGCGAGCAATAGAATGAATTAAGCTAAATCGACATCTGAAGGCTTCTGTATGCTGTGCTCTCAGTTCCTCACCAGTGCCCTCCTCCTTGCTCTCAGCCCTGTCACGAAGCTCAGGCAACATGGCCGAGGTGGGTGCTGAGGCCAGGCTGAAGGACGAACTGACATGCCCCATCTGCCTGGACATTTACAGGAACCCTATGTCTCTGGGGTGTGGTCACAGCTTCTGCAAGGAGTGCATGCATACAGAAGGAACAGAAATATGCCAGCAGGGCCCTTCCCAGTGCCCACTCTGCCTTTACCCCACAGGCCCCCGTTCAGCCATGAAGACTTGCCTGACCTGCAAGGTCTCCCTGTGCCAAGCCCACCTGAGTAAGCACAGCACAAAGAACACTCAGAAAAAATTACGTCCTGGTGGGGCTCTGTGGTGCCCAGGTTTTGGCTGAGAGGAAATCCCCCAGCACAGTAAACTGCTGGAATGCTACTGTGAGACGGACAAGGTCCACACCTGCACGCTGCCCTCCGCCCCCAGCTCCCACAGTGACCACAAGACCATCAGCTTAAAGGAGGCTTTTGGCCAAGCACAGCGTGTTTTTCTCAAAACTGTAAAAGAGGTAAAAAACTATGAAACTGCACTGGATCGAAGCATAGGAAACTTGCTGGAACAATCCTCTGCAAAGGAGTTCTTTAGAGTACAAACAACGCTTGAAAATTAAGACTTGGCATAACTGGTCTACTCTGGCCTCCAGCCAGGAGGCCTGAAGATACACTATCCACAACACTGCAAATGTTCTTTGAGAAAGCACACAGGATGGCCTTGACAGCCTAAAGGCCCCCCCGCAAGGAGCTGAACAAGTAAGGCAGCAACATCGACAACTCCTGATTTAAATCCTGGAAAACACAGAAAAGCTCAAAACGACTCTCACTAACTGCCATAGCAGATGCAAATGCAATTATTTGATGGTCTAAGGACCTCACCCCGGCACAAGCCTGCATTATCTCTAGCTAGTTATGTAACTAGCAACTTCTGTATCTGTCACAAAACTTGTTTCTCTACAGCATCTTGCAGCTTTTCCACAAATTGTAAGAATGGTTCCCGGGCACCTGGATGCATAGTGGTGTATTTTGTTTCGGGCTCTGCCAACCTTGCAGTCTGCACTAATGTTTGCTGGCTTATGATTTTTACTCGCTCTAAAACTAGTGGTCTCCTGCGCAGCTTACACAGCTAAGGAACAACAGCAGTGGAAAAACTCCACCTGAGACTTAACTTGCATAAATTTCTGAAACAAGGCAGAAATAGAACACCAAATTTATGTAAGAACCTCTTATTTAACCTCAGTTCAGATCAAACAGCTAGCCGGACAGGGCTAGTCTAGAAATAACTAAAACCTCATCACTCATGGTGGGAATTTGAAGAATTCATATACCATTCAGGATAAGGAGTCACTATGGTTCAACAGAATCATGTTACACATCTCTAAAATCTTGACACCGGCAGAAGGTATTTTTAAGTTTACACAGTCACACATTCATGTAGCTTTTCTCTTTCACACAATCTTTTTCCACTCATGCATTCAGGTGATCACCTCAAACACTCTCCTCAATCACACACACATTTTCAAGTAGTCATTGGCTGTGCACTTCTTATCAGTTTCATAATTCAAAGGAAATTTATGGCATAGCCATCATCAGCAATCTGCAAATCCTGCATAACTCTCCATGTAAAAGACAAATACAGCAAGAAAGAACAGAATATTACCTTGGAAATCTTCAACCCTTCTCATAGAGCAATGATATTCTGTCATAAAGGCAATAAAACTACTTTTGCAGGGGGCAAGACTATGTCCCCTTCTGTCTCATCGTTCTGTCTCCAAATCTTCTACCTGCACCCTGCCCCTGGGGGAAACAGCCAAATTTCATGTAAGAGAAGCAAAATAGCAAGCTATAGGAAATTCTTAATAACCTTCTGTAATATCCAAAAAGCTAAGCACGGATGTTGCATTATTTCTAATCTTGCTTCAAAGGATTTTTCGTCAGTCTCCCTTTCTGTTTTTGGAGAAAACATTTGAGAATGCCACGAGCACGCTGCATGCTTAACACCTATTGCTGTAAAAACAGCAATCTTATCTGATTTATAAATTGGGATATTGTTAATTTTAAGTTGTTTTTTCTCTTTTCCCTTTTTTCCGTGTTTTACCGTCTTTGCCTCCCCCACGCCCCTCATTGCCGAAGGACGAAGGAGGGGGAGAAGGGGCTGGGCTCACCCAGAGAGATCAGAAGGAACTTAATCACAGGATTTGCTTAAGACAAAAACATAGGAGAGGGAGAGAACAGCTGCAAACAGTTTCAGAGAGGGGGTGATTGGTGTAACGGGGAAAAGGAGAAACAGCTTTCCCCCTCCCCCAGCTGCACCCCCCAAAGCTTTTGCTACCGTCATTAACTCGCGCTCTAGGAAGAGGAGCGCGCTACCAGGGAAAACAACACTCGCTGCAAAGAAGGGAAAGGGAAACGCACACCCTCCCGGGACCAAGCTGTCAGCCAGTGCGGCACACAGAGCCCCCCGCCGCCGCCGCGCCCGGGGCCGCCGTGCGTGCACGTGCACGGGCGCAACCGCTCCGAGCCGGGGGCCGCGCACCGCTCCGAGCGATATTTCACGGCCCCGGCCCTGCAGGATTCGGGAGCGTCTCCGCAGCGAATATCACTGGCCCCGGCCCTGCGGCATCCGGGAGCGCTCCGAGTGATATCACCGGCCCCGGCTCTGCGCATCCTGGAAGCGCTCCGCAGCGGGCCACGACAGGAGCGCGACCACCGTCACTGCCCGCTGCCCGCGGCCCCCCCCAGTAGACACCCGCACAGCCGCGGACAGACCCGGCGCCGCCCCGTGTTCACTCAGCACGGCGGCGCAAGCACACAGCGCCGTGAACACAGCCACAAACGCGCAGCGCAGTCCCGCAGCACAGCTCAGATGAAAAGCTGGAAATGTCTTAAGGTGGAACTCAGTCATAGTGTTCGTAAAGTTCATCTCTGGTCCATCAGCAGTACTTTCACACTGCAGCCGTCATCTCCGATCGTCCTGGATATGCACTGCCGAGATGCTAGCACCGCGTTCATGTTGGCGGGGCCGCTCGGTTGTCCCCGGCTCCGATCCGTGATTTCTTGTCCCGCTCCGGCTCTCTTCAACTCCGCTCGACTCCCTTTTTGCACGATTTCTCCGTATGATGGTATCTAGTAGCATTCTAATGTCTTCAGACTGTGCTTTAATGTCTTTTACTGTTCCAGATAACGATCGCCAAGTTGTAAGGAGGGAAGCAGCAACTTTTTCTCCCTTAGAGGCAGCAGTAAAGAGCTTATCACTAAGTTCTTTCCAAGTAGAGATAGTAAAGGTAGTTACAGTGTTCGCTGCATATCCCTGGCCCTTACATGAAAGCAGCATCTGCCGCAAAGCCAGTTCGTCTAATTTTTCTTCCTTTTTTAAGCAGGATAGATTTCCATATAGATACAACATTAGATCCCTCTTGTTCTCGGTGGCTCACCTGTCCAGGCGTTTTGTCTGGCTGGCCTGGCAGCTTCTCCACTTCTGTCATGTTACACTGAGCTCCGTCTCCGCGGCAACCTCCCACAACTTAACCTCATAATATCTCCATTCTCTTTCATCAAAAACTATATTAGGGTCCACAGAACAACTTTTAGCAACCCTCGTCGTAAGCAATCTTGGTAATTCTTTTTTCAAAGCTATACCCTTAAGTCCCTGCTTTTCTAAAAAGCACTGGAGTAATAAAAGCACCGCTTGTCTTTCCATACCTATAAATCTTCAGCGCGCTTTGCAGCTCTTTACAAGACGTCGGCGGTGTTGTCGGCCAGGACCCTCCTGTAAGGTCGCCTGGGGCACGGAGTCCAGCTCTTTCGCCTCTTGTGCTGCTGCAAGACCGACCGGTTACTGCGTCAGACCGTGGCTTCGGGGAGTGCAGATTTAACTTACCCCCTGTTCAGGTTTCGGGGACCGCCGATTCAACTTAGCCCTTGGGGCCGCAGATTTAACTTAGCCCCTGGGGCTGCGGATTTAACTTAGCCCCTGTTCAATCTTCGGGGACCGCGGGTTCCGTGCAAAACTCTGCAGGATCCTCGTTTATTGTCCCTTGCTCGGCGCCATTTGTCGGACAAGGGAAGAGAGGGACCCTCAATATGAGAATCAGCTAGCTTCGTTTATTGATCATTGCTAACAGCTTAATATATGCTTTATAATTAGCTCATACATGTTGCAAAGGTTAAGCTCATTATTGGCTCTGCTTAAATGTTGATCTCACCTCTTACTCTCTTCCTTTGTTGACACAGGTGGCACTCAGTTGCTTTTTGTTTTGCTAATCACAATGTCCTGTTTACCAGCCAGCTAACATGGTACAAGGGCACTGTAACCTCGCTATTTAAGATGTTCCCACGGCCTAGGCAAGCCGTGTTCTATAGCCAATTCCCTACAGGCAGGTACCTCAATTTCTCCAGACCCAGCATGGAAAGATGCCGAAGGTCTGTGCACAGGTGGTCCCTTGGCTCTTCTTCCAGCAGCGCCTGCAGAGCACAACCGGGATGGCACCTGCTGGCAGCTGCCAGTACCCAGGGCCTCCAGTCCCTGACCCGCCCCAGCGCTGTCCGCACAGGCTGCCCGTGCCAGGGGGCTTTGCACCCTTGGCCACATTGCCCAGAGTGCCCTCACCTTGATGTTCTCTGACAGCTGGTACATGTCACAGAACAGATCCAAGCCCTGGGTCAGGCCGTGGTTCAAGGCGCTTCAGCACAGCACGGAGATGCTCCGAAGAAATGTGGCCTTGTCTCTCTCCTCCTGCCAGCCAGGGGTCAGAGACACAAACATGGATTGTGAGTGGGCGGACACAGCCAGCGGGACCGCAGCACTGGGGGTGCAGTGCCCTGCAGGAGAAGCAGCCCTGCCCTGCCAGCACCCCTCCAGCAGCCTGGCAGCACAGCCCCTGCCAGCAGACAGCAGCACAGCCACCCTCCAGCTGGCCGCAGTTACCTTGTTGGGGCTGGTGACAAAGGCCAGGATGGAATCAACAGCTTCCTGCTCCTCCTTGTAGATGGGCAACCAGCTGGCATCTAAGGGGGGAAAGAGCAGGGAGAGCTGCAGAGGGTCCAGCGAGAGGAGGGAGCAAAGGATATCTGCCCTCCACCCAACTTTCTGCCCACTGCCTTGGCACAGCCTTCCCTTGCAGCTCCTTGCTGGAAGGTGCCCGGTAGAGGAGCTGCCATGCCCGGGAAAGCCCCAGTGCCCCGGGCTGAGGAAGGCAATGGTAGACAGGCAGGAAAGGCCCAGGCTCCCACAGCACGGCTGCCTCCTGCCAGCCCAGCTGGCCCTCGCTGCCCACAGCCCAGAGCCCCTCTGCCCTGTCCTTCTTTGGGAGAGGCTGTGCTGGGGCCACGCTCCAGCCCTGAGCAGTCCCAGCTTTCAGGCAACATCATGGCTGACCCTCGGAACCCCCGTGGGTCGGGAAAAATACACAGCTCGGGGGGGCAACCCCTACAATAAATAACTCAAGTGGCCGTTGTTTTTCTGCTTTGCTCGATCCTGGAAGTCGCTGTTGCAGCGGGCCCGTGTCTAAAGCTGCTCTTTCCAAGTCTCATAGTCCTGGTGTTCACCTACAAAAAATTGTTGAATTTAAAAAAAAGAAAAGATGTGGCAATGCTGTTCATGAAGCCTTCAGCGGCCACCAAGAGTTCTGTTCTGCAGAGGTTTCAAGTGTCTCCTAAATTCCACACTCGTGGCTTCAGGCCATGACTTGCCAGAGCAGTCCCAGAGCTGGCCACTGCCCAGAGATGCCCTGGGGCAGCTCAAGTGCCCAAGTGGGACAAGTGGCCCAGGCTGTGTGGGAGCCCTTTGGAGCAGGAGCTGGTGGGCAGGAAGGGCCCATCTGGGGAGGGTCAGGGAATCCCCCCCTGCAGCCCTGCTGCCCAGGCTGAGGAGGGTCCTCTCCAGCCCAGCAGCACATCGTGTGCCCTTGGGGGCTGGGCTGCCAGGGCTATTCCCAAGAACTGACTGGCCAAGGTGAGGAGTGTCAGAGACTGAAATGGTTCATGACTGTCCTGGGTTAAAAAGGGTTTTCCCCTGGAGTTGGAAAGTGGTTAACCCCAGGAGGTGGTATTCTTGGTGTTGACCCAATCAGCACCCCTGCAAAATTAAACATATCACAACAGGCTGGAAAAGAAGAGATTACGTAGCTGAAAGAAGAGCAGCAGTCTTGGTCTGAGACCACGAGGAGAGAGAGGGGCCAGGGAGCCCCGCTGGGGGCCAAGACCCCCCAGCCCCCCTTCTGGGGCTGTAGAAAGTCGGAACAGTGTTAAACTGGGCCGAGTACTGTGGCCAAGAGCCAAGGGAGTTTTTCTCCACTGTGAGTGGGCAGCAGGAGCGGCGGCAGAGACAGCACCGAACAGAGAGCTGTGGCTGAGAGCCAAGAAGACAGTCAGCAGGAGTGAGGTGGTACAGAGCCAAGCTGAGAGACACAGAGATGCCCGACGGAGAGACAGAGCACCAGGCTCAGCAGAGACTGTTTGGGGTGAGCCTGGCTTTATTTCTACAAACCCTTTGAGACCCCTCTTGGGAGGAGGGGGTGGACTTCCACCTGAAGGGAGTCCTGAAATGCAGCAGCAACTAGAGAGAGAGAGAGAGAGAAGCTGAGAAGCTCAGAGATGTCCTGGAGCTGGAGTAGGACAGCCAGGAGGAATGTGGAGGGGGGAAGAGGCCTTCCTGCCCCCCTTCGCCATGCTGACAGTTTGAGACGGAGCAAAGGAGCTCTGCTAGAACACTTGGGGCAAAAACTGAACTGAAAGCCCTAAACGTTCTGACTCAGGAGGAACTTGAATCCCCTGAGGAAGGGACTGTCAGGGGTGCCCAGTACCCCGTGATATGACTGTGGAGAGGTGAGCCTTGTCCCTGCTTTCGCAGTCCATGGGAGAGAGACCAGCTGGAGCTGAAGGGCCGAGGGGTGAGAGAAGACCCCTGTGTTGTAATGGAGAGAGAGAGAGATTTTCCAGTTCTGACAAATCCAGCTATGACTGCTGCCTTGAAGAGGAGAGACACTGCTGCCCTGAAAGTGGAAAGGATCTTTTCATCTTCCCTTCAGAACTTTTATCGGAGGGAAAGGAGGGATTTGATCTAATGTAAATATATTGCTTTTCCATAGGAGAGAGAGTTAAAATTGTGTATATAATGTATTATAGTATTTATTTGTGTAAGTAATAAACTGTAATATAATTCCTTTCCCCCCATACTGAGCTGTGTTTTGTCTGAAAACCCTCTCACACTGAAACAAATTGGGGGAGGGGGGGCTAGGACTTGGAAATTGGATTTTTGAGGTTCTCAAACTGCCACAATGATTTATGCATTCTGGGATTGCCAGGGCACTTTTGCACGCTGGGAAGAGGCAGCTGGACCCATCCCCCCTGCCAGTGCTGCTGAAGGTGTCAAGCCCTGAAAAGGTGAGAAGAGCCGTGTTTACCAGGCCCCTCACGGGAACTCTGCGCAGGCCCAGCAGACCTTGGAGGCTCGAGGCATGGCCCGGGACACCATCCATGGATATAATAACTCATAACTTCTTGGAGTGTGGGGGCTTCCCTCCCCCACCCCCAATGGATCAAGGCCACCACTTCAACTGACAGACATTGGAGCTGCAACTCCCAAGTTCCATCGCTGGACCCCGTGGGCGGTGACTATAGACATCTTTCCACTCTCAGCTTTGCTTTCCTTTACTCTCCCTTACCCTTATCCTGTCTTTCTTTCTCTCCCTTATGCATTTTCCCTAAAGGTTCTCTTTATGCCATATTGCTGTAGATGAGAGATATAGATGATAACACCCAAAATGGCAATATTACTGTTTACCTTTGAAACAAAAGTGTTCTAAATTAAACCCTACATATATATGTTTTCAAACATTAATTATTTAGTTTCATTTCACTCAAATCCACCCCAAGGGATTTATTAATAAGAACCTGGTTACCCCCCCCCTTTCTGGGGTGGGTGGTAACAGACCCCTTGTAGCAGGATGTTCTACCTGGAAAAGAATCTGATGGGAGAATGCAAGCACTGCAAGTTCTCTGTGGGGAGTTACTGCTGGTGCCAAGGGGTTGGTTTAGTGTTAAATTGTGCCAAACCCAGCCTCGTTCCCCAACCTTCCAATACACATGCTGCTTTTGGAAGCAGAGTTTGACAGATCAGCTGCTCACTGACCTGGGAATATGTGACTGGAGATCCATCACTGGATAAGCATAAAAGCCCAGGGCCAACTTTCCTAGAGGAGATTCTTCCACAGACTTTGTTGAAGTCTGCGGAGCTTCTCCTGTGAAGCAGGGACAGCTCTTGATGGTCACTGCCCAGAGGGCAAAAGAGAGAGCTCTGCCTTGATTTATTTCTCTCAGACCCCGCCGGGCCCTCCCCGCTTCCTGCCGGGATCGGACACCGCCGGCGGCCCCGGCCCTGCCGGGCTCCATCAGCCTGAGCAATTGCTGCCAAGGAGGGGCCGGGGGCTTCCTCTTGGCCTTCGTCTCCCTGGCGCTGGGGCTCGGCTTCTACCTGCGCCAGAAGGTGAGGGGGGTCCCAGGGGGTCGTGTGTCCCCCCAGAGCGTCTGTGCCCCCCCGGGGACCCCCCACCCCGCTGTCACCCCCTTTTCTCTCCCCACAGAGCTCCTGAGCCGGCGGCGGCCGCAGCCCCTCCCCGGGGCCTCGGGCCCAGCCTGGACCCCTCCTGTCCCTGTGAGGATTTTGGGGGGTCGTGTGTCCCCCCCTCCCCTGCTGCCACTCCTGATCCCAGGAAAGCTTCCCAGTTCTCCCCAGTCCCAGTTATTGAAGGGCAGTGCAGGAGGGGCTTGGGGGAATCCCAAGGGGTGGAGCCGAGTTTGGGGGGGGTAGAACTGGCCCCAGGATGGATCTGGAGTGGGGAATTCCCCTGTGTTCCCCCTGTGTCAACCTGCTCTGGAGGGGCTTTGGGAGGGCACCTGCCCCTCAATAAAGCACCCCGTTCACCTCAAAAGGTGCTGGGAACTCCCCAAAACCTCCACATAGCCCCCCAGTAATGCTCAAACCCACTCAAAGCCCACCCAGGACTCCACCCAACCCCTTCTCTGGGGGGACTTCTCTGGGCACTGGTGGTGCTGGGAGCCCCCCCGGCTCCGGGCGAGCAGTTCTCGGGTGAGCGGGGGGTGGGAAGGGGATGGTCAGTGGGAAAAGGGGGGTCAGAGGGGACAAAAGGGGTGGTGGGACCCCAAACTGAGCATGAGAGGGCTGGGGAATTAGAGGGATGATATGGAAGTGGTGAGAGAGGGGGGAAAAAGTAGGGGTTAGGACCCCTAAACTGATCAAAGGGGGGGCTGAGGATGAGGGGACCATGAAAAGGTGGAAGGAACAGGGAGAAGTGTGGAAAAGGGGGGGTGGTCTGGTGGGTCCAACAGTCCCATGGAGGTCTTTGGGCACAAGGGGGTTTGCAAAAGGGGGCTAGCCCCCCTGACCTCCCAACTTACTGTGGGGTGCTGGGGGCTGCTGGATCCAATCTCAGCCTTGCTTTATGACAACAGTTGCAGTTTAGAAAAATTACAGAGGTGGGACTGAACACTTTTGTTTCCCAGGTTTTAATGATGGCAAATCAGATCTATTGATAGAAATGAATTATTTAGGATTACAAATGATCAGACCACAGATTTTTAGAAGAATTATTTACTGCACAATAGAAACACTAAAACTACCAGGAGTACAGGATAAGATAGGACAGTGCTCTATAGTAAAGCAATTGTTGAAGCAATTCTACTAAAGCTGGCACAAAAGCAATGATTATTAATTAGAGATGGATGGAACTCCCCCAGACCAACGCTCGGGGGGAGATCTCTGCTCTCAACCTCCAGGAGGGACCTTGGGAGGTCCCCAGCCAAGGCAGGAATCTCGACACACCCCCCAGGAAGGGTTCGGTTGGAAGAATGTGCCCCTGTGAAATGGGACTGGCCCTTTGTGGTGGAAAGGGATGGAGTGACAGTTACTGGACTCCAGGGGTTGCCTCCCCATCAGGGGCTTCATTCAGGGTGGAAGCAGCGACCGAAGCTCTTCCCATAGTCGGGGCTTCCCTTACCGGTGGGTCCGTTGGTGTGAGGTCAAGGCAGAGTTCTGGGTGAAGCTCTTCCCACACTCCCCACACTTGTAGGGCCTCTCCCCGGTGTGGATGCGCCGGTGGGTGATGAGGCTGGAGTTCATGTTGAAGCCCTTCCCGCAGTCGGTGCAGCGGAAGGGCCTCTCATCCGTGTGTGTCCGCTGGTGCTGGATGACATGTGAGCTGCGTTTAAACCTCTTCCCACACTCCCCACACTTGTAGGGCCTCTCTCCAGTGTGGATGCGCCGGTGGGTGACAAGGGTGGAGTTCCGGTTGAAGCCCTTCCCGCAGTCAGTGCAGTGGAAGGCCCACTCCCCTGTGTGTGTCGGTTTGTGCTTCAGGAGATCTGAGCTGGTCTGAAACCTCTTCCCACATTCCAAGCACTTGTAGGGCCGTTCCCCGGTGTGGATGAGCTGGTGGGTGTGGAGGCTGGAGCTGATCCTGAAGCTTTCCCCACACTCAACACACTTGTAGGGCCGTTCCCCGGTGTGAATGCGACGGTGCACATGGAGGTTAGAGCTGTCATTGAAGCTCTTCCCACACTCTCCACACGTGTGGGGCCGTTCCCCAGTGTGCATGCGCTGGTGGGTGAAGAGGTGGGATTTTCGCCTGAAGCTCTTCCCACATTCCCCACACGTGTGGGGCCGTTCCATGGTGTGGATACGCTGGTGTCGGATCAGGTTGGAGTTGTCAGTGAAGCTCTTCCCACATTCCCCACACCTGTAGGGCCGTTCCCCAGTGTGGATGTGCTGGTGGGTGAGGAGGTTGGTGCTGCTCCTAAAGCTCTTCCCACATTCCAAACACCTGAAGGGCTTCTCCCTGCTGGGAGGCTGCTCAGGGACCACCAGCTCAGAGCTCCCCCTCAAGCTCCGGCCGCCTTCCCAGCACAGGCTGGCTCTTTCCTCCTCAGAGCACCCTGGGCTGGCTTTGGAGCCCCTCCTGCGGGGGGATCTCCGGCCCTTTTCCTCCCCGCTGCCTTCCTGCGCCGGGGAGCCCTTCAAAACGGCCTCTCCCACCAGGGTCTCACGGGGGGATTTGTCCTCCGGGCTCTCCGTCCTCAGCTCGGGGCCTGGGGCAGGAAGCAAGAAGGACAGGCAGGGGATTTGCCTCCGGCCCACAGGGAAGGCCAAGGACATCCCCCCAACTCCGGCCCCGGCAGGACGGCGGCGCCAGCGGGGTTGTCCTGCAGCCGGGGCCATGCTGGGCTGACAGAGCCAGCACAACACCCGCCCAAAGGGACACTGACTTCCTCCTCACCTGCCTGGGGGGCCCAAGGCATCTTCCTCTTCCTCGCAGCCTCCTCCTCCATCCGCCCAAGCTTTGGGAAGGACAAATCCTGATGGGGGGGAAAACAAGGGCTGAGCTCGTTGGCTTGGGGGTTCCTCCTGCCCAAGTCCATCTCTAGAACTCACTGGGCATCCTGTGACCATAAAAACCTCCAAAACACCAAGATTTAGCCCAGAAAAACCCAAATCATCGAGATTCAGGCAAAAGCCTATAAGAAAGAGTGAGAAGACTCCTGCCCCCCCAAACTGAAAAAAGTTGAGATTCACCTAAAAAATACTCTAAAATATGAAGATGAGCCCAAAAAAATTCTCCTAAGATTTCCCCTTCTCTGGTTTCCCCCCTTTAGGGTTCAGAGAGTCTCTCCTGTCTAGGATGCTGGGGGTTCTACCTAGAGATGCTGGGAGTGTTGGGGGTCCCAAGGCTCCCTTCTCCTCTGATTCTCGCCTTCGGGATACTGCATTCCCAGAAATTCCCCCTCTCCAGGTTCTCCACTTTGTTGTCCTAGGGGATCCCAGGGGTCCCCACTGTCCAGGTTTCCCCTTCTCCGTGCCCCCCCTCACCAGGCTCTCAGGGGCCCTCTGAGAGGGCACTGGGATGGACTCGGGGGGAACTGGGGCACACTGGGGGGCACTGGGGAGTTACCTGGGGATACCAGGACACACGGGGGGACACTGGCAGGTTACTGGGCCATACTGGGGGTTACTGGGTGCTCACTGCAGGATCACTGGGCCATACTGGGGGGCAGTGGAAGGTCACTGGGACACACTGGGTGGTCACTGAGGGGGTTACTGGGCCATACTGAGGGTAACTGGGAGGTCACTGGGATATACTGGGGGCACTGGAATCCCCTTACCCGGCTGTGGTACATCTCCCCCTCTGGATTTTGGGGGGCATCCCTAGGACCCCTCCCCTGGGGGCTGGGGGACCCCTTGAACCCCATTGCTGGGCTTTAGGGGACCCTGTAAAATCCTTTCAAAACCTCTGAAATCCCCCTTCGACCCATCAAAACCTTCTCCAGGTCCCTTCAAATCCCCTCAGAGATCTCATCCCTCCCCAGCACCCCCCAAACCCTCTCAGTGACCCGCAAAACCCACCTGGGACCCCTCAAGCCCATTCAGGGACCCCCAATCCCCCCCACGGGCCCTCCAAACCGTCTGGGACACCTTAAACCCCCCAGGGACCCCAAAACTGCCTCAAGGTCCCCGCAAAGCCTCCCAGGAACCCCAAACCTCCCCAGAGAGCCCCAAAGCCCACCTGGGACACCTCAAATCTTCTCAGAAAACAAAACCCACATCAGAGCCCCCCAAAACCCTCCAGGGACCTTCAACTTCCCCCCCGAGTCCTTTCAGGGACCCCTCAAAACGTCCCCGGGAACCCCCGAACTCCCCCGCTAAACCCCCCCGAGGCCTCCAGCCTTTCCACCCACACCCGCGCTCCCCGCAGCCCCCGAGGGGATCCCCAGACCCCGCTCTCGCCGCCCCCCCGCCAACTCACCCACGAAGTGCAGCGGCCGCAGGCGAGTCCTCCTCACTCCCGACCACGAGGCCAAAATGGCGCTCGCTCCGCGCGCCCTCCGCCTTTACAGACCCGCCCCGCAGCCAATCAGCGCGCGGACACGGCCCCTGCCCGCCCCCCGCCTGCGCGGGGCATTGTGGGAGTTGTAGTCCCTGCGGTGGGGGAGGATCGGACTTTTTTTGGGTTTTAATTTTTCTGTCTTCTTTTATTTTCTCTTTTTTCTTTCTCTCTTTTCTTTCTTTTTTCTTTCTTCTTTCTTTTCTTCCCTTTTTTCTCTCTCTTTTTTCTTTTTTCTCTTTTTTATTTGTTCTTTTTTTTCATCATTTTTTCCTATTTTTCTTTTTTTTCTCTTTTTTCTCCTTTTTATCTCTTTTCTCCCTTTTTTAATTTTCGTTTTTCTTATTTTTCCCTTTTCCTTTTTTTTTTTTACATAGTTTTCTATTAGTTCTTTTATTCAAGGACGATTTAAACACAGATCAAAACAATCTCCATGTACATATCTTACAAAAACAGATAATCTGCCTTGTTCCAGGTTTGTGAGGGTTCCTAAGATCACAGACATTGAGACATCAAGGGTGGAAAGTGAAGCAACTTTATCCTGTCCCTTGCCACAGCCTTCAATCCACACCCAGCCCTGGATTTCTGCAAAGCCGCTGGGCAGGAGCAGGAGATGGAGCTGGTGCTCGGCGGGAGGGGCAGGCAGGCCACGCACCTTCTATTAGAGGCACTTCAATCATCCAGGAGATCCAATGGTTCCAGGGCTGTGTGTTCATTCTTCAGGCATCCAGCCCCAGTACAGTCCCCGACCTTGAAGCGCCCCCCTGGATGCCTAAGTGTCCCCTAAATGTCCCCCTAAAACTGCCCCATAAGTGCCCCTCAGGATCCCCAAGTGTCCCCCCAGTACCAACTCTTTATTCGTGTTTATTATTTCACTTTCTGGGTGTCTAAAACATTTCTGGCACGGTTTTGCCTTGGGGGAGCTGAACCTCATTGCTGGCAGCAGGGACTTGGCTCACAGCTGAGGAGTGTCTGTTACAAAGGTGAACCTCATGAGTTTCAGATTGTGGCAAAAAAAGAAGAAAAAGCCCTCTTTGCTGTGTGCAGCCAGTTCTGTGAGCAAAGCAGGACCCAGGAGACTGAGCAGAGACAGGATGGAGTTGGGAAATGTGGAGCAAGGTTGTCCACACTGTGTCAGACCTCAAGGGAAAGCTCCAACCAGTCCAAACCTCCTTAGGAGAGACCCTGGATCAATATCAATCAGAGAAAGCTGCAATCAACTCTTTTCAAAGGAGAAAAGTAAGAAACTACACCCTTGAAAATAAGAATGCATGTTTATTAGAACCTCTTTGAAGTATTTCTGCGTATTAAGAAAACTTCCTGATTAACTGCACTAGACTAGAGGAAAATCAAGGCAGAGCTGTGGTTTCTTAGCACTTGATTGATTTTAAGGAGCCTCGTGGTCCCCACGGTGCACTTGGCGCTGAGTCCTTGAACCTCAGGTGAGGTTCTCCTCTGAGAGAGAGGAGACCTTTCCATGAGTCCAAGTCAGAAGAGAATGTCAACATATCTCAAAGCATTAATGGGTCTCACTGAGGGCCATTCCCAATCCAGGCTCCTCAAGGACTCCTTGAAGGAGATCACTGCAGGCCATGATTGCACAAATCTGTCACAGACTTTGTGTCAAAAGCAAAAGCCAAAGTGCCCTTAAAAACTGAACTACTTCAAAGAAATGATGAGCCCCACAGAGTGTCACAACTGACAAAGCCTCTCAAGGGACTCATTAGAGCAGGTAATTGCAGAGGATTGCACAAACCTCACCAACACTCAGTGTGGAAAGCAGAACACAAAGTCCTGTGAAAACCCTGCAGTCCCTGAAGCATTAACGAGCCCCACCGGGTGTCACAACCGACAGAGTCTCTCAGGGGACTAATTAGAGCAGGTCATTGGAGGCCACGACTGAACAAACCTCTCAGAGGCTCAGTGCCAAAAAAAGCACCTCAATAAACCCTGAGTGCCTTGAAGCATTAATGAGCCCCACTGAGGGTTGTCACTGTCTGAGGCTCTCAAGGGACTTGTTACAGCAGATAATTGGAGGACATGGTTGCACAAACCTCTCAAAAATGCAAAATCAAAACCCCAAATTGCTCTGAAAACCTTGCAGTCCCTTGAAACTTTAAGGAGCCCCCTGAGGGCCATTCCTGACAAAGCCTCCCCAGGGACTCTCCAGCAGATCCTTGGAGGCCGTGGGTGCAGGGAGGCAAAGGCTCTGGGCAGCAGCTCAGGTGCTGAGAAAAGCCTGGCTCGGTTTGGGGAAATTTCCTTCCTTTTCAGGCTTCCTCCAGCTTTGGGAAACGCTGCCTGTGAGATTGGCACCACCTAAGAAGGGCTCTGGCAGGTTCCTGGGAGCAAAACTGGCCTGCTTTGGGCTCCACTCGAGATCTTTGGAGCATGGAGACACCTGAGAGTTAAAAAGAGGAGGCTGCATCTTTGACAACATTTGGGAACAAGCAGGGATTGCTGGTATGTGGATAATCTGCATGGGAATGGTTGCTTTGAGTTAAAGCATTAAATTAAAATATATGTGGGTATCTCAGTGATTACTTTTGGTTTTAAATAGGAATATTTAATTTTTCTGTATATTTATGTTATGAAGTTGGTAGATTAGAAAATCATGGTGACTTTTCTCTCATGCAAACTTTAATTTGATCTTGGGAATTTTGAATGACATCTCTATGAGACAGATAAAACTCACAGGAAAATGGCACAAATACCTTGAGAAAATAAGCAAAGTATTAGGACCATGTGTTTGTGTGAATTTGGATTTTTCTCTTGAAAAAATGCCCTGTGCTTGTCCCTTGGCTAATTGGATACTTGATTTTTTTCTGACCTGCTGTTGTCATCAGTGACACCTCAGGGTTTAAGAAGACTTC